TACTCGGGATCATAATGTGGTGGTTTCCCGTTGCCTTCCACATCGCAGTATTGTGCATCAGAATGCCATACCGATCCTCGTGATCTCTGCCACCCTGAGTACTGAAAGAGCTGCTGCCCTCTTTCAAGGACTTGTCTTAGCCTGGTTTCTCTTTAAGAACCCCTCCATTGTGGTTGAACCTATGGTCCGGCTCCCTAAATCATCGAAACTCGCAAGCCAATCCACCCACTCTAGTTTGTACAAGAGTTTCGTCAAGGTTCAAGTCCCGTCGGCTCGGTAATATATTTTATCAAATTAATATGAATAAATATATGAATATATGAATTCATTTACTCCTTTTGCCTATTATATATATTTTATGATAATCGTTTTTAAGAAGTAAACTCCAGTCACGCGTCGGAGTTGACACGTACAATTTTTTGGAATATAAATCGCTGATATTAATTTTGGATTATATGACGTAATTAGCCACAAAATAATGAACTATTTATACTTAAAAAAAAACGAATAAGTAAATAAGATATGAGGTTATCAAATTGTATCAGTCTACGAGTACCAGAAGTGATATTGAGGCCAGTGAGGGTCTATTCGGAAGAAGGGTAGTAAGTGCTATATTCGAAAGAATGATTTGCCTAGTGCTCATGTTCCGAAAATTTGTTTAACGAGGTCACAATAGTATGGTTATTTCATTTTGCAGCAAATAAATGTCCAACTGCTAAACAATATGGTTTGGGTCATGGTATTTTCTGCAAATCGAGATGGATGTGGTAGTTCTCCTAACTGGTGGTCAATAAAAGACAATGAAGAAATTTTGGAAAAAGAAGAATCGAAAGCTTTATAGCAAAGGGGAAAAACAATTTGTGCTCGGTACTAGTGTTGTTTTGTCTTTTGACTGTAAAATTGTAAAAACTTTTAGAAACTTGTAGAAATATAAAACAGGTAACGAAATCGCATGGACGCAATTTTTTCCGCGGTGGAGGAATTTTACATAGTATCCATATATTCTTAGTTAGGACACTGGTACAAAGTTGGTACGGAAAAAGTTTAGTTCCTGATATTTTAAGAGAACGTGCAAAAGATAGAGAGAAAGAGCATTTGAAGGAAGGAGATGTAGTTTGTAACATGGTATTTGTGCTTAAATCGGGCTCGTATTGTACAAGTGAACTTACCTTAGAGTGTCTTAATTGTACCAGTAATATTTACACGAAAACTAATAATACACAATAAATGTAATGTAATGTAAATAAATAATCCAAAATTAGGTGAGAAACATTATTAATTATACCTATCGTTAAAGTTTCGGATTTAATGTTGTATTCTGATAAGAGACAAGTTTGTATACACCGTCATGTTTTCACGAAATTATGACAACCAAACAAACTTCCCTCACTAAAATATCAGCTGTCTCTGTCGCGCATCGGTGGCGTAAACGTTCCAGCAGCCAAGCTATTTCTGTCACGTAATACATCTAAATTATTTATTTAAAGCAGCAAGCTAACACGTATAGTACTTATTTATATATTATAGTACATGAGTAGGTCAATTGACAACCGTTTAAATAGCAAAATCAATTATAATAGGGAGGGGTCGAGAGTCTAATCCAAGATCACGAAGAAGGGTGGTAATGCAACTTGCCGTCTTCATTCACCCTTTGATAATTTCCTGTCATTTTGTATTTTCTCCAATTATACAATAAGGTAGGCTAATACTATTATTATATTATTAAATTATTTATTAATATATGTTTAATAACTGTTGGCAGACCAAGGGAGGAATT